AAAAAAAATTAAAAAAAAAATGCCTGAATAATAATAATAATAATAATAATAATAATAATAATAATAATAATAATAATAATAGTCAACAAGAAGAGAGAAAACAAGGAAGGCACATTATTATTGATCAACAAAATATAATTTGGCTATTTTATTTTATTGTACTACCAAAAAAATAACACTAATAAAAAGACAAATTAAATGATGTTGTCATTTTATACTACATTTGTGTACGAACTAATACACAAAACAGTTATATATTGGAGTACTAATTAAACTTGTTTTCATGTGTTCCCAAACTCGCACTGTTCAAAATCGGACATTTCGTAACCGTTAGTCACTGACCAAGTACAGATCAACAAAAAGATATGGTAATAACAACAACAACAACAACTATCGACGATGTAGATTTGCCGGGATCTGCCACCGAAGAGAACTCCAAATCGGACTCGGCGACAACTCAGCACGAAGAGGATCTGAAGAGGCTGCCACCGTGGACCAAGCAGATCACGGCACGTGGAGTCTTCGCCAGCTTGGCTATCGGGATTGTTTACAGCATAGTCGTGACCAAGCTGAACCTCACGACTGGGCTCGTCCCCAACCTCAACGTGTCGGCCGCCTTGCTGGCTTTCGTGTTCGTGCGGACGTGGACAAAACTGCTCGAGAAGGCCGGTTTTGTCACGATGCCGTTTACGAGGCAGGAGAATACGATTATTCAGACAGCTGCCGTTGCTTGCTACAGCATTGCTGTCGGAGGTCGGTGATTGAATTCTCCGATATAAACATTTTACTATTTTTTTTTATTTTTCTTGTTATGTGTATTTGTTGTAGCTTGAAGTTTTGGTCTTTTATCAGGTGGCTTTGGTTCCTACCTTTTGGCACTGGATAGGAATACATATGAGAAAGCAGGGTTTGATGCAGAAGGGAATTCACCCAAGGGCTATAAGGTTCTAAAGCCCGATTGGATGATCGGTTTTTGTTTTGTCGTTAGCTTTGTCGGCTTGTTAGCTTTGGTTCCTTTAAGGAAGGTATGCTATGTTTTCAACTTTCGTTTTGTGTCTACCAAAACCTTATGCTATTTGAGTTTCTTAGTTTACATTCGATCTTTTTTTCCTTTTTTTTTTATAATTTTCTGCAGATAATGATCATAGACTACAAATTGCCTTACCCGAGTGGAACCGCGACTGCTGTACTCATCAATGGATTTCACACTGCTAAAGGAGACAAGATGGCCAAGTACGCGTTTTTTCCCTTTTCGAACTATTTGGATTTTGCGCAAGTATTGCAAAAGATAGAAAGATAGAAAAATAACCGAGTTATGTTTGCATTGTAAACTTCAGAAAACAGGTCCATGGATTCATGAAATTCTTCTCACTCAGCTTCGTGTGGAGCTTCTTTCAGTGGTTCTATTCGGGTGGCAAACAATGTGGGTTTATGAATTTCCCCACTTTCGGGCTGAAAGCTTGGAGACAAACGTATGCACGAGAGTAATTTTCATTGTGAATCTAAAACTCGACTAGAAATTGAATAACCGAGTTTATCTTTTTTCTTTTTTTTTTTTTTTTTNNNTTTTTGGCAGATTTTACTTTGATTTCAGTATGACTTATGTGGGAGCTGGCATGATTTGCTCCCACATTGTGAACCTGTCTCTGCTTCTGGGAGCCGTTCTTTCTTACGGCATAATGTGGCCGTTGATTAGTGAAAAGAAAGGAGTTTGGTTCCCGCAGGATATCAAGGAAAGCAGCATGAAGAGTTTGAGTGGCTACAAAGTAAGATTTTTTTTTAAGGTGCAGTGTACTAAACGGAACATACGAGTCGTTCTAGTGTTCTATTCGTTCGTGTTCGTTCTTTTTATTTGGAATAGAAAATAAATATGTTTTCTTTTTGGTTTTCTTTTTGGAAAAAAAATGCAGGTTTTTATTGCAGTAGCTCTTATTCTAGGAGATGGACTGTACAATTTTGTCAAGACCATGCTAGTTACCTTTAGAAGCATGCATTTCTCCTTAATAAAGAAGAGGAATCTTGTAGCAGCAGGTGAACACACTTTTTTAGTGAACTTTTCATGTCTCTTTCTAAGAAGAAGATGATGATGACGACAATGATGACATACGGTGAGTTGGTGCCTGCCTGCACACATACCTGCACTGGTGTGTATTGATGAAAAAAAACTCGATTACTGCAGTGTAATGCAGTCACCAATAGATAGAATTATTCTTATCATACAGATTAACGACATGTTTTTTTGTCAGTCAATAACAACTTACCAACAAACTAAAACCATCACTAACTGTTTTTTTTAACATACACACATATTGCATTCACTGGATTTTTTATAGTTGGATCAACACATATAAACACACATACCCGCACATGTGTGTAGTGATCAAACAGAAAAATAAAAAAAACTTAATGGTTGCAATACAGTCAATAGCATCATATTGAAATGTTCCAATGACAGACATACATTAACATGTTTCTTGTAACAGTCAACAACAGCAACAACACCACCAACAAACCAAACCATCACGACCATGACGCCCGGTTGAACGAGGTCTTCCTCCGGGACGGCATCCCCCTATGGGTTGCCCTATCCGGCTATGCCCTACTCTCAGTCGTCTCCACCCTCGTGGTCCCTGCCATGTTCCCCCAGCTCCGTTGGCCCTACGTCCTTGCGGCCTACGCTCTGGCCCCGGCCCTCGGCTTCTGCAACGCCTACGCCTCGGGCCTCACCGACATGAACATGGCCAACAACTACGGCAAGGTGGCCCTCTTCGTGCTCGCCGCCCTCACAGGCCCTGCCGACGGGGTCGTCGTAGGCCTCGTCGGCTGCGGTCTCGTCAAGTCCATTGCCCTGGCCTCCGCCGACCTCGTCCAGGACCTCAAGACCGCCCACCTCACCCTCGCCTCCCCGCGGGCCATGTTGGCAGGGCAGGCAGTGGGGACTGCAGTCGGCTGTGTCGTGGGCCCGCTCGCCTTTTTCCTATTCTACAAAACCTTCGAGATCGGGGACCCGAACGGGGCCTACAAGGCCCCATACGCGGCCGCGTACCGGAGCATGGCGGCACTCGGGGCCGAGGGGTTCTCTGCATTGCCCGACCACTGCCTGCACATGTGTATCGGGTCCTTCGTGTTGGCGGTGTCGGTCAACCTGCTAAGGGACGCGGTCCCCGGGAGGGTCGGGAGGTGGGTCCCGCTGCCGATGGCGATGGCAGTGCCCTTTTTGGTGGGGGGTTATTTTGCGGTGGACATGTTCGTGGGAAGTTTGGTGGTGTTGGTGTGGGGGAGGAGGGTCGGGAGAGAGGACGCGGAGCCGATGGTGCCAGCGGTGGCTTCGGGCCTAATATGTGGGGACGGGCTTTGGGTGTTGCCGTCGTGCGTGTTAGCTATGGTTGGGGTTAGTCCGCCCATCTGCATGAGCTTCTTGCCCGGGAAGGGCTCGTGAGGGAGGAATTTTGGAAAAAAATCGTGATAGTTCGGATGATAAAAAGTTATTAACCCTATATATATAAAAAGATAAAAAGAGATGCTATGGATTTCCAATTTCAATGTTCTTATGTGAAAAGAACCAAATTCTTTTAAAGACAACCTCTACTAAGAAAGGGAAAAAAAGGAAAGAGCATAAATAGGAACAATGAAGAAAACAAAGTAACAGTATACATGTAGGGATGGCAATGGGGACCCGATCCCCGATTACCCGTGGGGAAATCCTCTATTAGGGGATGGGGATGGGATGAAATCTTCCCCCATGGGGGTGCTAATGGGGAGAAAATCATCCCCGACGGGTAAACGGGTATGGGGATGGGGAACCAATCCCCGTTCTCGTTTACCCGCGGAAACCCGTTAAGCTAGTATACATGCTAGTTATTCCAATATATTTATACATACACATGAATGATGATGTAATTACATGAGAATAAAATTAAATATGTAAACATAATATCATATTATGTATGTAATGTGATAAATTGAAATCATATAATGTGATGTTATGCCACCTACATAGTATAAATAAAATACATATCAATAACAATTAGCGGGTATGGGGATCCCCGATGGGGATTTATCCCCGCGGGTAATGGGGATGGGGAGAAAATCCTCCCCGAAAGCATAAATGGGGATCCCCATGGGGAGAAAATTCTCTCGCGGGGATGGGTATGGGGAGTCAATACCTGATGGGGAATTCCCCATTGCCATCACTATATACATGCCTTCACATTTATATTGAAGGCTGATATGCATCCATGAAAATGAAACATGGCCCGGTTCTTGAAAATAAGATTCATACATATCTATAAATGCCATTTTCAGAAAGAAGAAAAACATCTTCTTCTTTTTTTTCCCACAAAGAAACCAAGCAACGCATAGAAAAGATGAGAAGAATTTCTAGAAAGTTCAAGAAAAAGGTGAGATTGGAAGAAGTATATTCAAGAACAAAACAGAGAAGAATATGAACAAAAAGGACTTTTTGAGAGACCTTACACAAGTGATCTCTTACTCTAATTCACCCCAAGAGAAAGATTTATTAACCTACATTTAATATCAAGATATCAGATGCATACATCACAAAAAGTGACACTTTTGAGTTGAAGAATAATGAGATCAACAATAATCAAAGACAAAATGCATCAACACATAGACCTGTTCTTACTAACCGAACACTCACAAGAACTCGAAAAAATCGAACTCTTACCATCTAATTGCTCAGCCATAGTTCTTATTCTTCATTAAGTTGTGTTCAATTAACTCAACCCCTTCAATTATTTTCACCACCACCATATATAATCCAGCTACAACAAAACAAATGGCATCTTCCAAACAAAGAAACAGGACAATAAACAGAGAAACAGGACAATAGACGGGGGAAAAAACAAAGAGAAATAAATTAATATGACAAAAAGGACATTCATCTCCAAAATTTCTGTCATATTATTGTAAAATACAACATTGGTTCCATGAAATTCTCTTCGATCAGTCGATAAAACCTGTTTTCTGCAACACGGTGTTGCGGACCCGGCGCAAATCCCGGCCCTTCAGTGTCCTCCCGGCGCCCTCGAACACCGAGAACGTCGCGTGCGACCTGGCCACGATCACGTGCGGCGGCACCATCTCCCCCGCCTCCCCGAAACCGTCGTCCTCGTCCACCTCGCCGGATCCCTTCCAATTCTTCGGCCACGCCGGGATGTTCACGGGCACCGATTGTCGGAACTTCGCCGGAGCATGACCATCCCCCTGCCGCAACTCCTTTGGGATGGCCACGGGGCTGGTTTTGCGGCAAACGGGGCGGTGGGATTGGTCCGAGAGGAGGGAGGAGAGGCCGGATCTCGCCGGATTGAAGCGGCGGCGGCCGTCGGGAGAGACGGCGAATGACCAGACGACGTCGCTCTCGTGGAGCTCGAGCGGGTCGCCACCGCGGGTCGGGTCCAATGGGAAGGGCTTCGGCTTTCCGGCGAGCCTGATTAGGCAGAAGGTGGGGGCAGAAGATTGGCGGTGGACAGGGGTCATGCCCCGCAAGAATTCCTCCATGGGAGCCATTACTCCCATTTCCTCTTCCTTTTTATTCTCATTTTGAAGAAAAAAAAAAAGCCATCATAAAGAGTTTATTTTTAGAAAAAAATTGCCCTTAATATCACTATTTGGAAATTGTAATTTAATCACGAATTTTTTACTTTTGAAAATTATATCACAATCTTCAGTTTGTTGTAAATTGGTGTACGAATTTGCATATCTCGTGTAAACCATATCACAATCTTGAGTTTGTTGTTCGATCACAGCAATTTTTTTAATACTGTTTTCAGACTGTTTGCAACAATTAAAGATTGTGATATAATTTGCAAAAGTAAAAAAGTCACGATTAAATTACAACTTCGATAAAGGTCTGATATTCGATAAAGGTCGTGATATCAGGGGTAAATGTGCTTTATTTTTATTAGTGTTATTTTTCATTTTATCTTTATTGAGGTGTATAATAATTATTTGCCAACTTAAACAATTTCTTCCCCTTGGCTGCTTTTTATTATTTGATTCATGATTCATCCATCCTATAAATAAAAAATAGTTTGGACTTCTGAAAATTATTATTTTTATTTTTTTAACTTAGATCCACATGTTTGTAGCTATTGTACTTGTGGATACATTTTACAAGAGTATATTATACATGTTGATGTGATGATATTATACTTTAGTTTTCTTATTTATGCACTAAGCAAATCAATAATTGATTAAATCATTATAACCATAATTATATTGACAGAGTGGAAGTGAAAAGACAAAAATATACTATTAATAATCTCTCTTAAAAGCAAATATTTATTGTATAATATAAACATCTTTCTCATTTTGAATGTAGACAATATATTAGCTCAAGTCCAATATACCTTTGCCATGATACTTATTTTTTATATATTAATTTTTTTTAAATAAAATATGTACATTAAAATGTGTGGGTGTTATTTTAATAGAGGTTTTTGGCCTTTGGGGTTTTGGAAAGTGATGGGCACTAGAAACAACAAGAAGTGATAACAGGTGGCATTAGTTCCACCTCTTGTCTATGATTGGACTTGCTCATCTTTTGTATAATTGAATCATTATTTTGATTAATTAGTCGATGAATAGAATTATTTATATAATTTTATTAATGTTTAACATAATTCTACTCGTTAAAATTTATGTTTAATTTGTTAAGACTCGCTAATCAGTCGAACTCAATTATCAGCTCGTTAAGTTAATAAACCAAGTCGAGTCGGAGTTTCAGTATCAAAATTGAGGAGCTCAAATTGGACTCGATTGGACTCCTTTTATCTTCTATGAACTCTATAGCCCAAGTCAATGAGTATAAGAAAGCCCAAAGCTCACTACAAGATCCACTAAACCTTCAATCGCAATTGGGCCGAACTATGATTGGGTCGGGTTCGAATGTAGCATTTTCTTAATCTTTGAGGACTGAATTGCAAAAATGGCCGCATAAATATATAATTGCAATGGATGGTCACAACTAACAGTACTCTCGCCAGTAGCATCCTCGTTTCAAACGCAACTACTCGAGCTACAAGAGAGAGAATATATTCATTATATACTATAACTGGATTTCAACTTTCTCTCTCTTGTAGCTTGTAAAGTTTTTCTTGATCCAACTTTTTCTGGTAGAAATTCACTTTTTTTTTTTAAATTCTCCGCACATGCTTTGAATCTGTCTGCTTTGATCTTATTGTGTGTGAAATTGTGAATCGTCTAGTATTTT